TGTGGCCAAGCCTAAGTGAGTATCCACACAGGACAGATAGAACTGAAGGTACTTGGGCCTCAAGACTCTCTCACCTGAGACGGAAGAGAGGGAAGCTTGGGACGGGAAGCGTCTGTGCTGCTTATGGTGAAGGCAGAAGGAAAGCCACAAGCCAAGCGAGTTTCCTGGAGAGGCTGGCAAGGGCCCTCTGTCTCCCACGGCTGTTGTGAAAGGAACCGAGGCCGACCCACCACAGGATGAGTCAGAGGCACAGATCCTCCATTAGAAGCCCAGAGTAGAACGTGCCCACCTGCCCCACAACTGAGGTTGGTATCAGATCCCTGGCTGCAGAACCAAAAGGTGTTCAGCCCTATGAATGCCAACTTGTCGGCAGTGACAGAAGACTCCTAACTCAGCAAAATGAATGCTTGTTTAACTTTAAGGCAAAAAAAAAAAAAAAAAAAAAAAAGCCACGGAAACCACCAGGCTCAGAATGAGGTCGGTGCCAGATCTGCACCTGGCTCTGGCCAGATTCACACAGTGATTAGGGGTTGAGGGAGGAGTGTGGGGATCCTTGCTGATTGAACAAGAATGATAAAGTGTTGCTTAGCTTCAGAAATGGAGGGTCAGCTAGAAAGGACATCCGTCATGACTTGAGAGATCGTGATTTGAAAGAGGGGCTTCTACTTCACCCTAAAGCAGGACTCTGCCTGGGATTAGAGCTAACATGAGTGACAGGAAGAATTTCAGACAATTCAACATCAGCAACACAGGTACCTTGAAACATGGTGTCCCCCAGTTTGAGTGGGTAAGTTGAACACAGGATGGGCTGGACCTCTTGGACCAGCAGCTCGAGAGAGAGCAGAGACAGCAGGAGATAGGTGAGCATGAGGTCCCCTAAGACCCAGGAGTCCTACCTACAGAGGCTTATCAGCAGAGTACCCCATGACCTCTTATTGCATACGTGTCTGGAGTCTATGGGTGATCTCAGCAAGGTCTCTTGGAGACGGAAGGTAGTTACAGGGGCATCTCCTATCTGGTGAGGAGTGGGAATAACATGGGGTGCTTTTCATTATTCTAAAACCATGTTCATTCCTAGTCAGCTGTGTGGGGTGGGGAGTGGCATAAGGGGGGTTGGCCCCATTCTGGGAAAGGACTACTTCCTTTGCCAAGTGCCCACTCACGCCTGTGGGTTACCAGAAAGCCTGCTGAAGGATGAGGCCTGTGGGTCCTCTGGATCCGTGCTTTCTCCCTTTCAAGCTGCAAAGCTTTCATTTTCTAGGGATTCCCACCAGAAACCCATTCACATGAGAAGGACATTGCTCAGCTCTGTGCAGCCCTCGTTGTTCCTGGCTTAACTCCATATGATAACTCCAATCAAGAAATTGTCAGTGTCACCCCATAATCTCACATACCAGAAGAAGAGGTTGGGGGAGCTATCTTAGCAATCGTTTAGGATATACATTGAGGGCCATCAAATGGCACATATGGCTAATGCCAGACACTTATGCATGCACTCTTGGCTGTCTTCCTCTCTGTGATCCATAGAGAATCTCTTACCCAGGCCCCCCATGTATCTTACTTCTTCAGGTAACTTTAATAAACTCTCCATATCTGCTTCAGACAAGCTATGCCTGAAGTTCTTTTTGGTGTCAAACCCATAAAACTTGATTTGGTATCTATCCAGGTCCCTAAAGAATTACAGGTGCTCCTCAGGCTGCTGTGGTGACACTGTGGAGCTGTGTCTCTGTCCCCTCACCACAGACAAACCTACTGCCTATGGGACCTTTGAGCCAGTGTTCTCTGGAAGAGTCTTTGGAAAATGCTGAACTCAAAAAGGCAGGCACAGGGGCTCCCCAGAGCCTGTCCCTGGGCCATGCTGTGCTGGACTGCAGTGGCTTACTCTCTCTACAGTGATGCTCAACCTGATTCAGAAAGGAGAGCTTCACAAACCACAGTGACTCTCTTTGGCATGCTGACCCCTGTTACACCCAAGTGGACCCTGTCTCTCAGAACTGGGAAGACCAAGCGCTACTCAAGCTGTGTTCACTCCCTTCACTAGCTGCTTATGGATTGGCTCTAGAATCAGAAACCAGCCCTTGGGGACAGCACGGCTTTGAATAGCTTTTTGACTCTTTCAGAGGCACATTCTCCTCTCTCTCTCTCTGTTCACCCTCTCTCATCTCTGCTCTCTCTTTTCCCTCCCTCTTTCTTCACTCTGCCTTCTCTCTCTCCTCCCAGCATCCAAACAATTAGATTAGCTCATGGCTTTCACATTTAAGGTTTGAAACCACACAGGCACCTCTTCCCCTTTCCAACAAGTCAAGGTGCCAAAGTGGAATTCATGCTCACGGCCTGGGCCAACCCTGCTTCTGCCTTCAGATTCTAACACGTCAGAGGCAACTCTTTTAATCTCATAGCAAAATAAACTGCTACTCGAGGGAAAATTCAATACTGGTAATACTTTCAACACAGTCTAATCTTTAATGTACTGTAATATGATTCCCTAGAGCTGTTTTCATTGTGGACTCTGTGCAAAGAAATTGTTTCTAAAGGTGACATACATCCCACTCTCAGGGCAGTTAGAGCCTCAGCTGGTACCAGAGACTGGATGATAATCCTGGGAGAATGGTTACGACTGGCTTGGAGATGGGACAGAGACAGGCAGCCCAGATGGGGCAGGGGAGGGAGAGAGAGGGACAGAGAGGAACAGAGACAGGGAGAGGGACAGGGAGGTGGAGGGAGAGAGTGTGTTTATGTGTGTGCCCAGATTTGTATGTGTGTGCATGTCTTGTATATGTGTATATGTGTAGACGCATTGATTTTCATGTGTTTAGGTATGTAGGCATGGATACTTGTGTGTGCATGCACGAACCTACATGTGTGTGTCTGTAGGCCTGTATGTGTTGTCTACACATGAGCATTTCTAATGGTGTGTATGGATAGGTGTATGTCTGTGCATATGTGTACATATGCATATATATGCACTCATGTTATATACTGGCCTAGGTGTGTATGAATGAGTTCCTATGCATTAGTGTGAAGAGGAGTATGCATAAGCAAGGGATGTGTGTGTGTGTGTGTCTGTATGCAGGTTGTAAATCAAGTTCCAGTCATATGCGGGGCATTGAGGTCACTGCTTTTTGTCTGTTGCTACTGCAACCTTACAGAACTCCTTCAGGTAGGCAACATGTTAGTGTCACAGCAGATAGGTCACAGCTCATCTGACACAATGGCTGTGTTTAACCCCCCTGCCCCTGTCACCCTGTCACCCACCGTCTGGGTCACTTTGCCATGCCGTTCCTACAAGACCTTCCTTCCATCAATTTTCTTGCTACAATCCTGGGTGTTTTCTGTGTGTGTTAAGCATTTCCTGGAATCACAGGCAGGCTGGCTTCTCTGCTCCGTCCTCCTCAGTGTAGCTGAAACCCTACACTACTTCCTTCTGCTTTCAAGCTGGTTAGGAGGAACCCAGAAGGTATTTTCCAGTGATTTGCTTTCTTGTCTGGCAGCCTACTTTTACACTGTATACTTTTTTTTGCCTTGTCTTTTGAGGCAAAGTCTCATTGTTTGCACAGGGTGGAGTTGTACCCACAATCCTTTGTCTTTATCTCCTGAATTCTGGGAGTACCGGCTGGTGCTATATGCATAGCTAATTTTTCCTTTATTTATTTGCAGGATTTAAATCTTTAACTGCTTCAAAAGTAGTTGTAATGCAGGCTTTGTGTCTGTTCTGTACTTAGGGGAGTGCTGGTCTCCACAATGTCCCATGCACAGCCTTGCTTTGCCTAAAGCTCCTGCTGCCTTCGTGTCTTAGGGCTTGGTTTCAAATCTCTCTGTGTACTGACTTAAATAAAGAACTGCATTTTTAGGGGTCTAGAGAGATGACTTCATTACTCAGAGCAAGTAGTGGCCTTGCAAAGGACTAGAGTTCCATTCCCAGCACAGGTTTGGCAGATCTCGATGACCTGTAATTCCAGCTCCTGTGGGATCTGACGCCTTTGGCTTCTATGGATACTTACACTAATGCGATCATGTCCCCACCCACATATACACAAAATGAAAAATAAATAACACGTCTTAAGGAAAACATTACAGTCGTCTAACATTCCTGAGGTCTGTGCTTCTTCACTCTCGGCACGACAAAAACAAGTTAGGTCTGGTGGGGCTCGGCTGTGATTCTAGGTCCTCAGGAGGGTGAGGCAGGAAAATAGCCTGGGCTACAATGTGAATTTGAAATCAAGTTATACACCCTAGTGAGACCCTGTCTCAAAATAAAGTAAAAATATATCTAGGAATATGGCTCATTGGTGGAGTACATGTCTGGCATGCACAATACAATACCCTAGGTTCCATTCCTAGTAATACACACACACACACACACAGACACACACACACTCACACACACACACTCACACATGCACATACACATGCACAGACACACACCACATACACATAAATGTACACACACTACATATACATACACACACATACCACATACACATATATACCACACAACAAACACACACCAAACATACATCAAACATACACCATACACATACCATGTACATACATATATACACTACACACATACTACACACACACATGTCATATACAAACCACACACAAACCATACACACACACACCACATACACACACCACACATACACCACACACAAACGCATCACAAAAGACACACACACACACACACACACACACACACACCCTTCCTCTCCAGACTGATATCTCTCAGATACTTCCTAAAGAAACCAGCAGTAAGCATATCATCTCCAAAGCTCTGGTGTGAGGCAGGAGAATAAACTTCCCAGCAAACCATACAGAAAGAGCCGGCTTCTGGAAAACCTGCTCCTCTCCTAAAACCACATTAACAGAACCATAGGGACTTAGTATGTGGAAGCTTGGGCTGCCCATGTCCTGTAGGAAAGTGTCCTTATCATAGGTAAGAATGTCCTAGAAGCTAAGACGTGTGCAAAAAACACTGGGAAAGGATGCATGCTCACCCCAGGAACGAAGAGCTCCAAAGTGGGCTGGCCAGGTACCCTCACCTCAGAAGTTGTCCAGGTTCCAGTCCTAAGTATGTGAGGACTATTCTGTTGACAGACGCAACCAGTGCTCATTGAGAGACGGGCAGTGAGATGCTTGAATTACCAGAAGAAAGTCACCGACTCACCACTTCCTATTTAAAAGCAACGCCTATCTGCCTGGATGCAAATGGTTAACCATGTACAGACTGCAAGTTGTAAGAGAATTATTAAATACCATCACCATCACTATCACAACCCACCATTGTCATCACCACCACTATCATCACCATCACCTGACTTGGAGTCAGATCAGTGCAGAAAAGAGGAGAGAAGAATTTGGCTTTGCGGTTTCTCAAGGAAGAGAGCCTCTGTGCTGTTTTCTACCTGAGGTGTTGGGGTTCCCATCAAAGTCTCCTGGGACTGAGGATGCTGGAGCCACCTGGAGGCAGTGTGAGCATTTGCAGTGTTCAGAGAGGCTGAAGCCTGGGTTTGGAGCCTGGGTTGGGCCCGGCTGTGCCCCAGCAGTCCTGCAGCCACAAGAAAGATGCTGCCCCAGACTGCAGCCAGCTCTCACAGTGGTCCCCACCTCAAGCACTGGGGAGAGTGGGAGAGGGGTTTGCATGAGACAGAGACAGAGGAACAGTCTTCAGTGATGCTAGCTTCCATTTCTGTGCATTGAGATTGAGAATAGAGATCCCTAAAGTAGAGCCCCTTGTCTCCACAAAATGCCTGGTGAGGGTTTCCATGACTACTTTGTCCTCAGCTAGAACATGGGAAGCAACAGGTGAGGACTCGCTTAGGAAACTCACTTCTAGGTGTGTTGGCTGTGTAGCTAGCTCCTCTGAATTGAGACACTTCCTCCTGGATTCAAAAAGTAAAGTGTACAGTTGAGGAAACTCCTAAAATTTACAAGATTCATAAGTATCCTCTCCAAGGTTATGTCCACAGTGATAATGGCTGAAGAGAGGAGACTCCGTGCTGGGAGCTCCAGGGCCATCAATGCCACAGGGGAGGTCCCAGGATACAGTCACCTTTGAGTCACATAGCCTTCCTTTTAAAAATCTTATTTTATGTGTGTGAGTGCTCTGCTTGCATGTATGTCTTGTCTATGTGGTGCTCAAAGAGGTCAGAAGAGGGCATCCGAAGACCCCCTGGAACTGAAGCTAGGGACGGATTCGAGCTGCCATGTGGGCGCTGGGGATCGAAACCCAGGGGGTCCTCTGCAAGAGTAAGTGCTCTTAACCACTGAGCCATCTCTCCAGCCCTATGGGGTAAAGAGATTTTTCTTCATGTCTCCAGTAGTTGAAACACAAGAGAAGTATAGACTCACAGAACTGTGAAGTTGTTCACACCTCAGTGACCAGGAAGCAAGTCCCAGGAAATGCTGAACACAGCCCTGGGGAGACACAGCGGTCAGTTCCAAAGCAGGGCTGACTGACCCCCACTCTCACTTCCTAGAGATGTTGACCACGTGGCCTTGCTACCCACAGCCCGACTGGCTCTGTCTGGATACACTTTGTTTTACACCTTTCTGCACCACAGAACCTTGAACTCCGTTTGTTCCTAAGCTTGACTATGGGAGGAAAACTAGAACCTGCCCTGCCTACGCAGGAACTGGCTGTCACAATGAGATCTTTGTCCATCCAGAGGCCTGCTCACTGCCTGCACTGCCGAGCTTTCCCATGGAAGACTTCATGGCTCTGCTTGCCTGCCCTTGGCTCTCCATGGAGGGGTAAAGGGTCTCCAGAACTTGGGGCCACAGCTCTCCTGTTCTTTGGACAGACATCCTCCTTTCTGCTTCCCTGTTCTCTGGCAGAGCCGGGGAGTATTCCAAGTGGCCTGGGCCTCCTCCTTGTGAGAGAGAGATCTGTGCTGTGTCTGTATCCTTCCATGCTTAGAACTATCACATGCCCCTCCCCCCGTAGGAAAAACCCCTCCCTCTGGTCCCATTCTACACACACACACACACACACACACACACACACACACCCGCACTCCTGGCGCATCTGCTCCTTTCTGGAGTAGAAGCTGGTAGGAATAACCCCCACCCCTCCCCCTTCCCTCTGAGTCCCCCCCCCCCATTCCAGGGAATTCACTGGCTGAACGGAGGAAGAAGCCAGGCTCCTAGGATGCTTGAGAATATGTGCTCCTGGCCTGTCTTTCCTCCCAGTCCTCCCCATCCTTTTCATGAAGATGAGACAGGATCTCACTACGTAGCCCTGTCTGCCATGGAATTCACTGTGTAGAGCAGAGAGCTGCCTGCCTCTGCCTCCTGAGTGCTAGGATCAAAGGTGTGCACCCTACACCTGGCTGAACATTTATTTATTTTTATTTTTATTTTTATTTTTTTGTTGTTGTTGGGTTTTTCTGTTTGTTTGTTTTGTTTGTTTGTTTTTCGAGACAGGGTTTCTCTGTGTAGCCCTGGCTGTCCTGGAACTCACTCTGTAGACCAGGCTGGCCTCGAACTCAGAAATCTGCCTGCCTCTGCCTCCCAAGTGCTGGGATTAAAGGCGTGTGCCACCACCGCCCAGCCTGGCTGAACATTTAAACAAACAAACAACAACAACAACAAACTTCACCCAAGCTAGAATGTGACTCTCTTATAGAAAGCCCCCAGAAAACACTTGCCTGAAAGAAATTAAAAAAAAATCAATAAAACAGATGTAACTTTGTTAAGAATCCCCCCCCTCCAACCATGAAGGCATATCTTCTTTCCCTGAAAACAGGGACTTTTCTGACCTCCCTTCTCCACCCAAGAGTGTAAAGTGAACCACAAACCCCTGCCCGCCCCCACAGCTCCTACTTCCCTCACCTTCCCCCAGCTTTCCATGGCTCTCAGCCCACACCAGACGGCTTCCGTTCAAATGGCCTCGATTCCTTGGCCTCTGTAGATGGTACGGAGCTGTGGTCTCTTAAGCTCTACGGTACTTGGTGTGTTCTCTCCCTCGGTAGTTCTTCCACATCTCAAAGAAAAACCCACACTCTACATCACCCTGAGAGCTCCCAAGTGCCTCTGTTTTATACCTGGGAATGCCCCATGCCAAGCTCCACCCACAAATGTGAAATGGCACAGCACCTCTGCACGGATGATCTGAGGTACATGGAGAGGAAGCCCCACTGTCAGCAGCAGTTCAATTTATATTAGCACTTTCCATTCTGAACATGATGCAGTCAACGTGAAATTTTCATTTGGAACAAAGTCCAGAGACAGCGGGGTGGATTGGCAGGTCAGTAGGCAATGTGTTTTGGCTTTCTCCTTCTGGCTTTCTCCTCTGGTAAGCAGGAGAGGACCTGAGTGTCATCTAAGGTTCTCAGGTGGAGGAAATCAAGTACTGTGGGCCTGCAGAGGCTTGGGCACCCCTAACCCAACTGGGCTCCCGAAGCCAGACATTGGTTGTGTCTTAAGTCTGCCTCTGCATGGGTAAAGTAAGCCTGACATTGGTAAAGACACAGAGGGACTAGGGTGGCTTGACACAGCTTTACAGTTATAACAGAGAGAGAGAGAGAGAGAAAGACAGAGAGAAAGAGAGAGAGAGAGAGAGAGAGAGAGAGAGAGAGAGAGAGAGACCACACATGGGGCCCAGAGAGAGGTGCCAACTGAGGTCAAAGGGCAAATCAAAGCAAGGGAGAGAAACCAAAGTACTATCCAGAAGTTCAGGTTTCTTAAAAACCAATGGGAGCTGACTGGGGAAGGCAGGAGAGAAAAGAGGTTAAAGGAACATCTGCCCAGTGGAGCCTCCCATGAAAAGCAACTCTGTGTCTAATAGCTCAGGCCCAGCAGCCTAAGAATCACCTCTTGGTATGAGCGTGCCTTAGGAAGCTCTGTTTCAGAGAGGGAGTGAATGCTGAAGATGCCTATAGCAGCTGTGGAAAGACTTGAAGACCGGCAGGGACTCCAACAGGAGACGAACTTACAGCCAGCGAACACAAGAGATTTGTACATTCACTCTTCAGTGCCATCCCGCAACGCCACCTCTCATGCTTTGTATGCTTTCTCACTTTTCATACGGTCTCCCAATCCCCTTCTGGCTTCAGTCACAGCTGCAGAGGACGGGGATGTAGGGACTGTCTAGGAAAGAAAGACACACAGAAACACGAGGTACAGAGATACAGAGCTCATGGGGTACAGGGGTGCAGAGCTCATGAGACCGTGGCGGGGACTGGGGCACACAGACTGTGGAGGAGACTGCAGGGGAGAAAGGCAAAGAGACCATGGCGATGGTGATGCAGAGGAGACAGTGGGGGATGACGATGCAGTGTCAGGGGAGGAGGAGCCTAAGAGATCATGGAGAAAGAACACACAGAGTCCACGGGGACAGCTAAAGGACTTACTATCCCCTGATGGACAACTCTCATCCAGTAAAACTCAACCCTTAACCAGTAAGAAATGGCTCAGCTCTTGACGGTCCGTCCCTCAGGCTCTTCTCTTTCTGGAATGACTAACACCCTCTGGTTTTCCTGGGATTTCCTGGGATATGTGAAGTTCAGCATTAAAGCCAAGCTGGAAAGGGGATCCCTGAGGCCTCTCAGAGATGTTGGTACTGAGCACTGGGATTCAGGCACTCTGCTCTTCTGCAGGTGAGGATACACTCGGGGAAGACAGGAAGTCAGACTCCACAGCAGTGGGGAGTGACCTGACAGATGAGTGCAACTGTCCTGTATGTGGAGGATGGACCAGTTCCCTGTTGCACCATGGGAAAGCATGAGCCAGTGCCTTCAGATGGGAAAAGGCACATCACCTGAGCAAAGGCCTGGCGGACCTGTGTTCTGAGGGAAGGTAAGTAGATCTGAAAATTAAAGTGCTGGAGGCCAGCTGTGGGGGAAGGGCTGGCTGCTATGCAGGCAGGAAACCCTAGCCTGCATGGTGTCTTCCTCCCTCCCCCACCCCCAAGAGACAGAGCCCCGTTTGGCATCCTTCCTTCTAAATATCTTTGACAGCTTCCCTTCTGTGGGGCTGTTCTGAAAACCGAGAGAGACACCAAGACACTTTGCCTATGGCTGATGTCCTGCACGGGACATCTGGTCACTCTTTCCTAAACATGATCTCCATCAAACCAATGGTTGGTTGCTCTTTTTCAAATAGGACATTTCGATCTGATCATGTGGCAATGCCAGAGCCTTTGAAAAT